CGGGGGTGACAGGAGACACCCCCCCACCCCACCCCACCCCCCAGCCAACCTGCCACACTGGGAGTGCTGGCCCGAGAAGGCCCACGGCGGGCGTTTGGGACGGCGAAGCACCCAATCCGCAGCAAGCATCCGGGCCGCTCCGGTCTGACGGCCGCAGTTTTAGAAGAGAAGTGGCCCAGTGCCCCTGATGACACTGCCTCTGCTGGCTTGGATCGCCTCCCGGGGCTCCCCGGGCAGGTGGGCAGGCCGTGGCCCCGGGAAGCTTGGTGCATGCTGACGGCCCTCACCCCGAAGGGGTGACTGTTGCGGGCTTGGCTGTGGGCCCCCTGGATCCCCAGTCCTTTATCACCCTCACCCTGGGCCTCCCTGTGGGGATCTCGCAGGGCCAGGGAGCTGGTGAGGCAGCCCTGTCCTTCCAGGGTGGGACTCCTCCTGTGTGTCGAGGGGCTGGGCCACAGCTGGGAGAATGAACGGGCTGACGGGAGAGAGCGGCGAGAAGGGGCAGCGGGAACCGTGACGCCCGCGTGGAATCCACCTGCCTGAGGGTCATGGCTGTCCCTGCCCCGAGTAGCCACTGCCGCCGGAGTCGCACACACCACCAGGCACGGAACGCCAGCTTTTAGCACCCTGCGGTCTCTCTTGTGCCCTGGACTCTGAAAACGCCTCGGCCCAAGTGCCTAAGTCCGCACTCTGCCTTCGGGCCCCGGCCTGGACCCGCACGGCCTGGCTTCCCTGGCTGTTCACACCTCTGCCCTGGCACGTTCGCCCAGCAAGCCTGTCCGGTCATCTCCGGGGTGGATGGGGGCCCAGAAGCCCCCTCCGCTGCCGGGTCCATGAGGACAAGTCGCCCCTGCTTCCCAGGGCCCCAGCGGGCTCACGCGAGTCCGGTAAACAGGTCCTGCGCACAATGCCCTCCCCCACCACCACCGGGTGAGGCCTGACCCCCCGTGAGCCTGGGGGGAGGTGGTGCTGCGCAGGGAAAGACGGCGGGCAGGTCCCGTCCTGTGTGATCACGGTACCATCGTGACACAGTCCTGCCTTCCTCTTTCGCTGGCCACCCGACTCCGCCAGTCCCGCGTGGGCGGCCAGGAGGCCCTGCCATTTGGGTCCCGGCTGTCTCAGTCCCCAGTCACCTGCCGGGCAGAGCCGGCAGGCCTAGGGCCTCGCTCTGACAGAGGCGCACATGGCTCACGACAACCCTGAGACCCTGGGAGAACGGACACACCCTCCGGAGAAATGTCCGTGGAGAGGACACCGTGTCAGCAAGTGACTCTGGGAAGGGCTGAGGGGAGCGCGCGCGTCCCAACACAGAAGGACTCCTCCGGGGAGTCCCCGACGGGGCGGCGGCCAGACGGCGCCCGAGTGCCCCACTGACCCCACCACGTGCTGTCACCACTGGGTGCCCCTGCCGGGAGCACTGAGTCATACATCGCAAGGGAATCACACCATGGCCGGGCCCTGGGGATTGGCCTGGCCATGCCGGCATGGCGGGGGAGGGCGGGCGTGCGTCCCAGGCCAGCTGTGCCTCGGGGGAAGGCCAAGTGGAAGGCGTGGAAAATCAGCCATTTCCTCCACCTGAAGGAGCCCCTGAGGACAGCCGCGGCATCTGCCCCTTGGCTCTGGCCAGGGTTCTACGGGGAAGCGCTGCTGAAAAACAAAGTCGTCTCTCTTTTGGGGGGCGGGGGAGGGGGCGAGGAAAAAGTAATCTTCTCAGACGCTCAGAGCACAAAAACGAGTGGAAAATGATCAGTTTGGTTTTCCATAAGTCCAAACAAGAGGATCGTGTTCCCAGACAGCGAGGGCCCAGCTCAGCTCGGTGCCTGGGCGCTGGCATGACCCCCTGGCACGCCGGTGGCTGAGTTGCCGAGCTGACTGACCACTTGGCGGGCCCCGGAGGAAGCAGGCAGCTGGAGCCCCGGAGGCTGAGCCCAGTGACCCTCTTTGAGCCAGCCCCTCAAGCCAGATTCTCCTTGATGACGACCCTCCACTGTGAACCACGTCGCGTGATGAGGGACCAGCAGTCTCCCCTCAGATCCAGGACCAGCCAGCTGTTGGTTCTCAAAAAGTGAGTGGAATGCTCACTTCAACATGGGGCTCTTCACTGTGGAGCAAGGTGTGGGGCAGCACGTTAGGCCTCCATAAGGCTAGCCAGGGAGGGCAGGGGCTGTCAGAGCAGACTCATGATGTCCGACCCCAGCCCCCACCCATGGCAGGGCAGACTTGCCCCGAGCCCTCCACAGACAAACCAGGACAACATCGCCTGGGAATCGCGGGCCAGGGGCGGTACCGCGAGGCCTCGCGGGGAGATCAGGAGGTGTGGCTGGCCCCCCCCTGAGCCGAGAGCTGAGAGCCAGTGGAGGCCCCGACACCAGGCAGAGGCTGAGGGGGCTCAGCCAGGCGTCTCGGGTTCACCCTGAACGTTCAGGCACAACGATAAAACACGGCCGACAGAGCTTTGGTCAGTGAGGACCCCGGGCCCGCCACCATGCCCGTCCCGTCCGCCCAGGCGGAGGGAGCTTCCGCATCATGAGAGACCGGGGCAATTACGCGCTCCTGCCCGCAAGGAGTGGCAAGCCTGGGAGAAGGGCAGCGGTGAGCTCGGCTTCCTTTCGGTTCACCGCGTCACGTCTGCGACCCATACCCGCCACGAAGGGTCAGCGTAACGTTCAGGCTCCCGGGCCCACCCCCTACAGTCTGGGGCTGGTGCTCAGCGCTGCTGAGAATACGTTATCCGTCCCCTGATTCTCAGTGTGGATTGATTTTTTTTCCCTTCAGTTGACGTTTTTATTGTAAAAGAAATTAAGTACTCATTGTAGAAAGTGACACAGTTCAAAGGTCCACGAAGGCTCTCCTTCAAGGTCAACCACCGACGGGATTCCTAGCTCATCTCTCTCTGCTCAGCGGCCGCTGACACCAGGTAAGACCTCTTTTTTTTTTTTTTTTTTTTTTTTTTTTTTTTTTAACCCACATGGGACAGTGCTGTCCCTGTCACTCTGAGACATGCTCATCTCATTTTTCTGCAGGTATACAGATGTGGGGCTGCGTTTTGGTAGCTGGATAATAGTCTGTGGTTCACGCCTGCCACATTAACTCAACCATTCGGTGTCTGATAGCTCCTTAGGCTCTCTTAGCTTTAAGCCATTACTTTGAGTCGATGCTGAGCCACCCATTTGTATGGAAACCTGACACTGGGGCTGGGTGAGAGGGTTCTCCCTAGGTAATTTTAATAGATGTTGCTGGATTGCTTTCCCAAGAAACTAGCAATTCAGACTCCACCAGCAAGCGGTGTGTGAATATGACAGCTCCCCCACATCCAGGTGCGAACCAGCCGTTGGCACCCTTCCCCGGGGCGTGCCACGCGTGGATGAAGACCGGATCTGGTTTTCCTTTTGTGCTGAATGCCTTTTGTGGCTTGGAGGCCATTTGCATTTCCTTTTGCAGAATTGCCTGTTCATATCTCTTGCCCATTTTTGCTTGTCAATCTGTAGGAAGTGTTTATATATTAAAGATGTTAACTTTTTGTTACATCAGGCATGGATATCTCCCCCCGTCAATCTTTGGTCTTTCAGCCCTTAGGATGGTTGTTTTTATCATAGAGAGTGTTTTATGTGTTTAAGGTGATAAGAGCTATCTTTTGTTTTGTGAAAAAGGAAGATCTTCCCACTTCAGAGTAATACGGCTGCCTCCTAAATTATGTGTAATATAAACCCATGAATGTTGTGTGTGTGTAAGTTTTAACACATTTGGCATTTCTGCCTAACGTTACGGGTGATCGTCAACAATCTGAAAATGTAAAGGTATTGGATACACTCCTAAGAGACTAAAGCATAAACTAAAATTTCTTGAGAAAAATCACAAAAGAAAATCTCCGGGCCTCGGGTTTGGCGCTGAGTTTTGAAGCACAAGACTACAGGCTCAATCTGTGAGGGGCAGAAATGGAAATGTTGGACTTGATCAAAATCCCAGGCATTTGCTGTGCAAAAGACGCCGCTAAGGGACGCAGAGATAAGCCACGGACTTGAAGAAAGCGTTTCCACGTCAGCTGTTTGGGCAAGGGCTTGTATCTAGAATATACGAAGAACTCGTGCAAGCAGATAGCAGGAAAGCCCCCGACCCGATTTATGAAGTGAGTTACAAGCAAGTACCTAAAAAGATGCCCAGCTCAGTCGACACCGGCAGCTGTTAGGGAAATGCAAGTTAAAACCACAGCAAGATGCCACAGCACCCTCACCAGAATGGCTGAAATCAAAAAACAGAAACTGAAGCCTGACGTTGCCACGCAAGCAGGAGGACACGGAGCGCCTGGAACTCTCCAGCCGCTGGCAGAAGTGCAGAACGATGCAGCCACCTTGGAAAAGACTTGGGCGGTCTCTTACAGAGTTGACCGTGCACTTGCCATGTGATCCAGGAGTCCTTCTCCCAGGGATTTACCCAAGCGAGTCGGAAATCCACGTTCACAAACACCTGTACGTAAGCGTGCGCAGCAATTTCGCTCACAGTCGCCAAAACCCGGAAACAGCCGAGATGTCCTTCAGTCGGTGAAGGGACATACCGCCACGTCCGTACAGTGCAACAGCACCCAGGACCCGAAGGAAATGAACTAAGAGGTCCTGCGGCAACGTGGGGGACGCTCGGATGCATTTTGCTCAGCAGTGAGAGAAGCCAGATGTAAAAGGCTGCACGTTATATGATTCCATTTATATGACATTCTGGAAAAGGCAAAACTACAAGGACATAAACCAGATCAATGGTTGCTAGTGTTTGGGAGGGGGGAGTATCTGACTTCCAAAGGCACGCTCAAGGAAACTCCTAGAGCTGTCGAACTCCTTCGTAGGGTGCTATGGTGGGGGACACACGAATCCAGGCATCTGTCAAAACCCACAGGGCTGCAGATCTCCAGGAGTGAATTTTACTGTATACAAAGAAAAAAAAAA